TGATTGCCAAGGCATCCGTTTCAAAGACATCCATCTCAAATACACACATTCCTAGCTGTACAGCTAGATAAGGAGCGATGGCATCCCACCCACGCAATTCCCCCTTTAGCCCTGGGTGACCCTAGATAACTGACCATTTGTGTGACCCTGCTTTTCCTTTCCCATGCTTTCATTCCCACTCTTATGTTTTAAATTCACCAATAAAAAGTGAAACCTCAAAATCCTGGGCATCCCACCCTTGACTCCAATAAAGGCAGAGCCCCAAGTGTGTGCGCTCTTTCTCTACACAAGACCTCGCTGTGGGGCTCTGGGTGTGCCATGTACCTTCCAGAATATATGAGGCTTATTAGCCTCATTTTTTTCAAAGCTCCCTGAGGGTTGTTGCTGAGGTGCATCTTGCAATCATCATAAGAGCCACAAGGGTCAGCTCAGCCACAAGATTGGCTCTGGATGGGAAAATGTCTGTGGGGGCCGACCTCAAATAGTGCGGGCAATGTACATGCCTGCAGGCATCCCTAGTTGATGGCATCACTATCTAATAGCTGAGACCAACACAAGACAGTGAGGATATGCAGAAAAGAGAACCCTGGTACACTACCGGTGGGAATGTCAATTGGTGCAGCCATAATGGAAAACAGTATGGAGATTCCTCCAAAAATTAAACATAGAACTACGAGGGGATCTGGGCGGCTCAGTCAGTTAAGATCTGACTTGACGTTAAGCGTGTGCCTTGGGCTCAGGTCATGATCCCGGGGTCCTGGGATCGAGCCCGGCGTCGGGCTCCCTGCTCAGTGGGAAGCCTGCTTCTCCCTCTCCCACTCCCCCCTGCTTGTGCTCCCTCTCTCGCTGTGTCTCTATCAAATAAATAAAAATCTTAAAAAAAAAAAAAAGTCTGACTTGATTTCAGGTCAGGTCATGATCTCTCCGCTCAGTGGAGTCTGCTCAGTATTCTCTCTCTCTCTCCCCCTCATCCCCTCCCCCAAAGTAAATAAATAAATCTTGTAAAAAAAATTGAACTACCATAGGAACCAGCAATCCCACATCCGGGTGTTTATACAAAGGAAATGAAATCAAGATCTCAAAGAGATACCCACACCCCTATGTTCATTGCGGCATTGGTCACAGTCGCAAGACAAGGAAACAACCAAAAAGACCATCAACAGAAAGAAATCTTTTTTTTTTTTTTTAAGTTGTATTTATTTAAGTCGCCTCTACACCCAATGTGGGGCTCTAACTCACGACCCCGCGATCAAGAGTTGCATATTCTTCCGCTTGAGCCAGCCAGGTGCCCCCAAAAGTGAAGGAATTGTTAAATTTCAGTTGCAGGTTAGTGAAAATAAAGATGTTAGTTTTTTTCCCCTGTGAAAATTAATAAAAGGAAACCTGGCTTAGAAGGGCTGTGGGGACCAGCAGGGGGCGCTCTCATGCCCCACCACTCACACCAATTACAGATCCAACCGGAAAAGACTACTTTGCAAGGCAAACTGCTTTGCTAGCCCAGCAGGAAGATAGGCTTCCCCACCCTGCTCCTCAACAGTCCAGCCAACTGAGTTTGTCACAACCCAGCCAAAGCAAAGCTACTACACTTCCAACCCACAGTTTACTCCAGTGCACTTTCTGTTTACAACAGCCTTCCAAACTTCCTCCTTTCCTCTAGAAAAAAGGGCTCCTCTCCTTTGTTCAAGGACTTGCCTATGGTTTAGCTGTAGTTTGCTTGTCCCTGATTACAATTCTCTGCTCTTCCTGAATAAGCCCATTTTTACTGGTAAAATAACTGGTAGTTTTATTTTTTGAGGTTATCATGCCATACCAGTTCATGACTCTATAAATTCCATCCATGGAGTCCTTGGAAGCCCATGGATTCCAGGTTAAGACACCCTAAGATATTATCATCGTCTGCATGAGGAAATTGATCACTGATACGCTTTTGAGAAACAGTTGTACCAAAACACTGAAAAACTGAATAATGGTTAACAAAAGGACATAACAAGGAATTAATAGAAAGGAGTTAGAGTCAAGGAAAATGTTTAAAGAAAGGATATAATTAACAAATGATTTTAAATTTATATTCAAGGGATAATCTCTCTTTAGGAACTCAAATTAGAAGCCACACCCAAGGAACTGCTGGTAGACAGAACTCGAGGAAGCAGACCAACTAAAGAGCTCTCAGAAGCAGTGGTTAACAGACTTGCCTGGGCTGCTTTGGTAGTTGATTTCTGCAGATGTAAAGGGACATGTTCCTACCGGTCAGTTTCCGGTGCTTCCTAACTGGCTTTATTTCAGAGAAGCCTTAGAGCTTGTGGCTTAGCTCATAGCTGAATGTATGGATGTATGGATGCTTTGGGTTCACAATAATTTCTCTTCCACTTCAAAAGTAGAATATCACACTTATTTCAGAAACACTGGATTAACGGTTAAAACTGGCAGTGACTGGGGTAGAACAACCTTATGATGATATTATCAACAATTTAGATCAACATTAACACTTCATTGTTTAAAAAACTACTTTCACATGCATTGCTTTCTATGATTCTCAAAATTCCTTATTGAAGTCCTATAATATACTGTAAAATAGGATGCCTTGGAAACCTGTGGCTCTCTCTCTGAGCTTGCCCCTTCACACATCAGCCCTCCTAGCTTCTCCCTGCTGCCTCTCTCTGCATTCACTGAGTCACTACCTGATTTAGGTCTTCAGTGGATCACATGAACTTGTTAGGGAAGGCTATGGATATATGGCCAGGTGATGGCCATCTTAATTTTTCTCAGAGTCATCTTTCTTTCTTTTTTTTTTAAGATTTTATTTTATTTTATTGTCAGAGAGAGAGAGCATGTGCACATGCAGGGGGAGCAGCAGGCCGAGGGAGATGCAGGCTCCCCAGTGAGCAGGGAGCCCGATGTGGTACTTGATCCCAGGACCCGGGGACCATGACTTGAGCAGACACTTAACCAACTGAGCCACCCAGGCGTCCCTGAGAGTCAACTTTCAAGTCCTCCAAACCCAAGTGCCCAGAATTCCTGTCTTTTTACTCTCTTTCTTCACCCAAAAATACTAGAGAGTAGTTGGATTTATGGAGTGTGATCTGAGACAACCAGTAGAGGGCAAAATGGAGTCTCTCACGTCAAGTGGGACCCTGTGTCAAACAGGGGTCTGTGTCAAGCCGTGACACAGAAGTTAACGGTACTGCAGCTAGGAGATATTCCCTGGGACCAGTGTCAGCTGACACCCCAGAACTGATAAGGAGCAGAACCAGAGGGTCTACAGGGGGCTTAAGACTGATTTAGAAAGGGGAGGAATTGGCAGCCAATGTCAGACTCTTCAGACGTGACCCCTCTATGTCTGGCCACTTAAAAAGGCAACTGCCCTCGAAGGTTCTGCCCCATTGACCTCCAAAGGGAACCTTCCTTCCCTGCTGGAACATAAGAAGAAGTGAGTGCCCAGAGCTGACCCAGACTGACCAAGGCATTATCTCAACTGTGTGCCCACAGACTGATTTCGAGTTTGGTTCGTTAACTTACTACACTCTCTGTTATCTGCTTTGTTCTGTGGTTTGTCTTGTGTCCTGCTCTGTGTGCTCGTAAGAAGCCAAGTTTAATCACATGGTGAAATGTCATCGAGTTTGGAATCCTGAACCTGTTTTATAATTGTGATTTAACTTTGCTTTATGATTGACTAAAGCTGACATTGTGGAAAGACACAACTAATGTGAGCGCCTTCATAGCGTGCTCATGACACAATCCCCATTCGGTCTATCAGCATATGATTCCCTGTTATTCAAGGAATGCTTGACTTGAGCTGGGTTTTGAGGTGCACCAGAGTTTTTGTAAATCCCAATGTGTTTCTATAAATACCAATATTTCTCTATCTAATCCTGTTGACATACTTCCCATTCAAAGAGAGAATCAAGAGACTATACGCCAGGATGCATTGCTACTAATATGCTTTGAAGAGAAGTTCTGGGTATCAACGATCATTACGACTAAAAAACAGAAAAGAAAAATTTTGTTCTACCCCCTGTGAAAGGTGAAAGAAAATAAAGTCACTTGTGGGCTATCTGACTGGCTCAGTTGGTAGAGCATGTGACTCTTGATCTTTGGGTCATGAGTTTGAGCCCCACACTGGGGGTAGAGTTTACTCCAAAATAAAAATAAAGGCACTTATGTCAAGGGGCTTTAAAATGGAGCAGGGAGGTCATTAAGGAGGTGGCCCTTATGCACATCCTCACTGGGTGGAGTCATGAATTTTGAACTGGGCCAAAAAGACTGCAGAACACGTGCAACTTACTACAGTAGCTACTGGCCTTTGCATAGTGATTGCCTTAGCAACTAAATTTGTTTAAACAAATTTGGCTAAAGAAATTTAGGATGAGGATTAGTTTTCTGGCACCAACACCAATCAAAATTCTTTGTAAACAATGTATAAAAGCTTTCCCCTTTGGGGCTCCTGGGTGGATCATTCAGTTAAGGGTCTGCCTGTGGGTCCTGGGATGGAGCCCCAAGTCAGGCTCCCTACTCAGTGGTTTGTCTGCTTCTCCCTCTGCCCCTCACCTCCATTCAGACTGGCTCTCTCTCTTAAATAAATAAATAAAATCTTAAAAAAAAAAAAGCATTCCTCTTTTCTGTCCAGAAACCCCTGTTCTTTGCTCTCTAGTGGGACACTATTTGGCTTGTGTAATCAGTATGCACCAAATTACAATTCTTTTTTTTTTTTCTGCCTTAGCAATTTTAATTTAGAAATTTATCCTACAGGCTTTTGTTCATGGGTACAAACGTTGTTCACACTACTTGTAACAGCGAAAGATTAGAACATTTTAACTGCCGGGCGCCTGGGTGGCTCAGTTGGTTAAGCGACTGCCTTCGGCTCAGGTCGTGATCCTGGAGTCCAGGGATCGAGTCCCGCATCGGGCTCCCTGCTCGGCGGGGAGTCTGCTTCTCCCTCTGACCCTCCTCCCTCTCATGCTCTCTGTCTCAAATAAATAAATTTTTAAAAAAGAAAAGAAAAAAGAAAATTTTAACTGCCATTTAACAGGAGACTGGATATACAAATTATGGTTCGACTGAACACCGGTCCCACCCTGTGTACCGCTGGGGGCAGGAACTACGCTGCTGCTTTTGTGCCTCCTGAACTGGGTCATCAGCCACTTTCATCAGCTGTCCAAAGCAATAATGTTTTACAATTTGGCAACTTGGTAGGTAAAAAAAGGGCATAATCTTGTTTTAATTGTTATTTCCTTCATTGCTACTGGGGTTGACTTTTTTCATGTTTATTGCCCCTTGTACATTTTGAGTTCTGTAAAAAGTTCACAAAACATGTTTACAACATTTGTTGGTTTTTTAATTTTCACTCTGATATTGTGAATACAGACAGGAGTAAAACACTGTCATTCTAGGTGCTTTTATTAACTCTGTAATAAAAAGAGATTGAGAAAAGAAAAACAAACAAAAGTTTAAGAGCATATATCTCCCGTATATTGGAGATACCCAGAAAAACTGAAAAATGCCCCCAAATGGCTCAAGCCACCACCTTGAATACTATCTTCAACTAAGGACAAAAGAAAGATGTTGGAATGGCGGTGGGGAGGCCAATTATGGGGGGGGTTACCAGGAAAAGCCCAGCAAACAATCCTTGAGTTTTGTTAGGCATATTTAAGTCAGTGCCTTCTCCATTAATAAGAGTTTATTTCCTTTTCTTTTTTTTATTGATAACAGTTTCTTGTGATTTATAGATTCATCTTTCTCTTTCTGGTACTAAGAGGGAGACACACTTACAAATGGAAATTTCCTTTATAAATGTAAATGTTCCTTTAAAAAGGCTCACTTCCACTCTGGCTTCAGAGCTTCTCCTGTGTTTGTGGTTTCTTAAAAATCACCAGCTCAAAATCATCCTTATCCCCAAGAGGTAACACTTGGAGTGGCAAACTCTGCTACCCTTCATGACTGTCTCATAATAAGGTGGCCCAGTGAGAAACTCAACCAAGTTGGCTTAGCTAGAAGCAGCCTTTAAAGAAATGCATTGATAGGAAACACATTCAAGGATCTCACTTTATGCATAAATTGCACCTTTGACAACATACTCTCCCCTCTCGATGAAGATTCCACAGTTCACAACACCAGCGGTGGTGGTGGTGTTGTTTTTCCCACTGAAGTTCTCATTGAACAGAGCCTAGTCATCTGGGGATCTTTCCCCAGATGTTTTTCAGGAAGTGAATTTAGGAGATAGATCTCTGATTGTCCCCTGATAAATTCAGATTACCCTACTCCCATATTACTCCTCCCCAGGGCCTTATCATTCCCCTGTACCCAGAAGCGAGTCTTTGATATTGGACACCTTTGCTCCAGGCTATTCTCAGAGTGAACTTAAGTGTTCTAGATGAGAAGACACAGGAACAGGTTCACATTGGAAGGCTGTCCCCCACCCCTGCCAGCCTTCTAATCAGTTGGAGTGCTGTACCTCTCACTACCATTCCTTTCTTCACTGCTGCAGACTTCCTGGCTCTCTGCTCTTCAGATCCACATATTGATTTCCTCGACCAGTGACACCTGAGTGTTGGATCTGAACAGGGTGAGTTTGAGTTAGGGTTGGTGCTGAGGACGCTTGCCGGGAAAGGCCCAGAAACAATGGAAAGGGCCTCACTCAATTTCTAGACGGAAGAGTTAAGATAGGAAAGTGATCGAATTTGTAAGAAGCAAAGACATGAATTCAACTCAGGATTAATCCCAGTGATACAGTCTCTCCCCTCAACCCCCCACCCCCACCCCTACTCCCACTTCCTCCCCAATCTTCCCAAGCATAATGCATTGAAGCAGCTTGAATCCTGGTCTTCTATCCTGGTTAGGACCTTTGGGCCAGGTATAGCGTAGTCCAGATATGAATGTGCCTACTCTGTCTTCTGTGCCTGATAGAGCACTTGACACGGTAGAGGACGAAAAAAATTTCCTTCTATCCTTCAAGATTCTTCCAGCTAGTTTAAGACTGAAGCTGACACAAGACAGATTTAACAGGAGAAAAAAAGCAAAGTTTTGTTATGTGCACATAGAGGCCCGAGAATGAAATTGAGATCCCAAAGAATTGACCGAGGCAGACAGTTTTTATATATTTTTAACAATGAGACAATAGATTTGTGAGGAATTGATAGGACAGACAAAACAAATGTTTGGGAGTTTTAATTAGTAAGGAATTCCAAGCAGAATCTGGGCTGAGGTAGTAGATTTGTAAAAAGGAAGAAAGTTTGTTTATACAGCTTTCTTGGCTTTAAAATCCTTATCACTGGTGGGTTGCCTGGCCAGCTCAGTTAGTGGCACATGTGACTCTTGATCTCAGGGTTATGAGTTCAAGCCCCATGTTGGGCATAGAACTTACTTAAAAAATGCTAAAAAAATAAGTAAAATCCCTATCTCTGGTGATAAGAATGTCTCTTTTATTTCTTACTACAGGGAGGGTACCATTCATAGGAGAGATTCCATTTCTGCTTTTACAGGGACAGAAGAGGATCTGAGTGTCCTTGCACTGGCTGTTTTCCAAGTAGCTTCAATTCAAAATTATCAATATGCCTGGGACACCTTATGGGGTGGCCCATCCTGGGTCCCTGCAACATTCTCAGAAGTGCTTTCACTTACATATCTCATTAGATTCTCCCAGGTCTCTGAGGCAGCTATTCTTAACCCCATTTGTGGACACAGTGCTCAGAGAGTTGAGAAGAGGTTAGCGATTCCATAGGACCAGCTGTACTCCTAGTGGTGAATGAGGACGGAGAGCCGGTTTAAAGGGGAGACTTTTCCAAACAACTCCATTCCCTAATTTTGACCAGAGTAGCTCCAGAGAGGGTAGTTTCAATCTGGTACTTGACTGATGATGAGAACAATCTTTCAAAACTGGAGTTCCTATATGGTTGCATTCTGAACAACAAATCAAGATGGTTTATAATTATGATAATGAGGTAAATGGCCGCTGAGAAGTATGTGGGTGGTCAGAAGTGATAACAGGTTTCACACAGGCTTTGGGGAAGTGTTCTAAGGACATCAGGATTAGGAAAACACCGTTTTGCAGAATCATTGTAACTGTAGCCTGGGGTTTGAGGGAAAGTATCATCCAAGTCTTCACCTAACTTCCTCATTCCCTTAGAGTGTGACAACCCTTTCCACTTCACAGTCATAAAGCTTAAAATACCATTTTCTTTTAGAACCATGCTCTTCAGAGAATTGATCTGGACTGTCAAACAGAATTAGCTAGAGGATGATGGGTTCCTCAGTTTGGGTAGAAGAGAGGGCAGACAGCAGGTGTTTGAAATCCTCAAAATAAACTTCACTTATTTTTGACCATCTTGTGTTAGTCTCAGTCAGGTTCTAGCATATTTTCAGTTCTTGTAAAGTTTACTACCTAATGAGATTTATCCTCTTCAAGCCTGGGAACAAAATGGTAAAGTTGGGCCCCAGTGCCTACATTGGCAAGAAAGGAATTTTAAGGTGCAGGTCAACTCTTAAGGCAGTGTTGAGAAAATGCTTTCCTCTCTCTTCCCCGTGGACCCACAGGTGGCTCTGGTGACTGAAATGGCATCCTCTCTAAAGGGCCTCGGCCCTCTCTTGGCCCTGCTGTTTGCCCTAGGTGGGTGGCTTGTACACAGCCAGAACCTTTCCTGGAGAGAATTCATGAAACAGCACTACCTGAGCACAAGCTGGAAATTCAGCGACTACAAATGCAAGGATCTCATGAGGGAAAGAGAAGCTCCACGCGACAGGAACTATCACATCTTCATCTATACCTTTTGGCACAAAATCGAGCATATTTGCCTCAGGAAGTGGAGAGACCATTACAGAAATGTATATATATGGGCCCAGCATCCCTTCAAAATACTCAAGTGCTACCAGGAGGGCAACCAAAAGAGCTACAGAGAGCACAGCAGCTACAGCTACGTTGAATTCCACTGTGGTGCAAACGGGTATGTCGATGGCATAGAGGACATCCAGTTGTTAGACATCAAAAAATAGAAAGTCTACCCACACCCCCAGGTTCGAGTAGAGTGTCCAGCGCTTCCCAAGTGGGAGCCCCTGCCTACATCAACAGCCCTTGCTACTCCTTCCTTTGCATTTATGTGCCAACGCTTTCCAACTACTTAGAGTGATGCATCATCACATGCTTTCTTCCTATCAAAACCGCCTGCACGGTTTCTCTGCCTGGAATACCCTTGTGCCCTCATTTATCTGATTTGCTCTTACAGTTTTTTAAGATTAAGCTCATATGGCTTCTCTGTTTTACTGAACCAGGGACGTTCCTGATAGTGACTCTCCTTATACTGACCCAAGCTGAATGGTCTTCCCTTTCCTAAATAAAGTATGTCATTCCAATGTGTGTGACATTTATATATGTTACGGGTTGTATGACTGGAGGAGTGATACAGATTATGCTTGGATATGATGTGTGCAGAGTGTATGTTTAAGGTGTGTGTCATTGGACTCATTCCTTAAACATGTCTTTAAGGAAATGCATGCATTTTAGATAGGTCAAGGCATTATGTTTCTTGAGGAATAATAAATTAAGTAGAAGATAATGGCAGAACTGAGGTTATCTGATAATAATCATTTTCACTAGGCAGACATATAGAGTGGGATATGGGACTTTAAAATGTAACCTTCAAGAATGGGTCTCAAGACTTAAATTTTGTTGGAGGAAAGAGGAAGTAAATTGCAGAAGGAACTGTTGAAGACACGAGTAAGTAACGTCCATGAGAATTCTGTTTGCTAAATGAGGAAGAGAGATACAGAGAAAGATAAACCTTCACTTCATATCAGTTTTCCTCGAACAGGTATGGGGAGGAGAAATGTGAAACATTAAAGTACCTTATGTTCTTTAGCATCCCGCATTGTTGAATGACTCTAGTCTTGAAACAATTGGAGAAAAGACCAAGGTCATAACAGTTTCAGTTAGGTGGCTGCATTCCTAGTCCTAGATGTCTGGGCCCAATGAGTAGCCAAGGAATCTAGGTTGGTCATCATGTTCCAAGAGCAGCTCCTCAGCTTTGCAGTTTTCCAGTGCGCCTGGGGATGAGCAGACACTGGGGAGAGGATGACCTATAGTAACCAAACTCACAAGAGATTAGTGTTAAGCCAGGAGTTCTGTATCAATAATCAATTTGCAGATGAGGAACACTGATTGTTTCTCTCAGTTGATAAAAGCTGCTTCAAAATGTAGGGCGTGGGGCACCGGGATGGCTCAGTCGGTTAAACGCCGACTCTGGATTTCGGCTCAGGTCATGACCTCAGGGTCATGAGATCCAAGCCCACATCGAGCTCTGTGCTGAGCTTGGAGCCTGCTTGGGACTCTCCCTCTCCCTCTCCCTCTGCCACCTGCCCTATACTCTCACAAGCTATCGCTCTCTAAAACAATGAAAACAAAAACAGATAAACAAATAAAACAAAAATAAAATGTAGTGGCATATTTTGTGGTAGCGTATTCTGGTTGCTTATACTTATATTCCAGAGTGGTCTATTCTGGTCTCCCACAGTAAGTTTTCACAAATACTTCATTCTAAAAACTCTAAAAGTTCCTTTTATTAAAGGGTTAAGGGGCGCCTGGGTGGCTCAGTTGGTTAAGCGACTGCCTTTGGCTCAGGTCATGATCCTGGAGTCCCTGGATCGAGTCCCGCATCGGGCTCCCTGCTCGGCGGGGAGTCTGCTTCTCCCTCTCCCGCTCCCCCCTCTTGTGCTCTCTCTCTCTCTCAAATAAATAAAATCTTAAAAAAAAAGGGGGGGTTAAAAGATGGTGGTTGAAACCACACGGAAAGAAAATGGATCAAGCACAACTAATATAATAGTTTTGTGTTGTTGCTTGTTTTTTCCCACAGCCACTTCCCCCCATTTGGATAGCTGCATATTCATTTCCTTTCTGGAACTATGCCCCCCGCCCCCTGCTTGTGTGCAGTATTGGTGGGGTTATCCATCAGGGTTTCGAATCCGCTCTACTGAGTCAAGTGACGGTCATGAGATGCAAGCTAGGCCAACCAGATTCTTTCTTATAGGAGACCAGAATGTACTACCCGAAAAGATGGCTCTTTGGCACAAAGATGATTTTGAGCTGATTATTTTGAGAAACAGAAGACAGAGGAGAAGCTCTGAAAGCAGCCTATAAATCACCCATTTACAAATAAGGGACATTTATCATCATAGAGAAAATCTCTATCCCTAAGGGTGTTTCCCTATGTCTAGTAACAAGATAAAGATGACTCTAAATCACAAGAAACTCTTACCAGTGGAGAAGGCACAGGCTTAACTCTGCAAAACAAACTTTGTTTTCTATACTTTCCTTGCCAACTTCCTGGAGCCTGCCTTCCCCACACTCTTCTTCCTTCGTTTTAGCTGAAGATGGTCTGTTAGCCCAAGGTCTCACCACCTCTTGGAATGATCTTTCCTGATGTGAAGAACAAAGGCAAAGGAAATGTAGAAAGAACATTAAATTTCTTACAACTTGCAGCCCATTGACAAGTACTTGGGATAGGCAGAGTGACCTTCTTCTAAGAGCTCAGCTGCCTCAATGTTAATACTTTGCTAGAGGAAAAAGGTAACCTTAGCCTGATAGTACCTCAACCCCCAGGATCCTGTAAGTCTCCTTTAACATATAAAAATCTCTTTGGAAACTTCCTTTATTTCTACCTCCCCCCCCCCGCCCCCGCCAGGTTATATGTTAGCATTAATTCTCCAAGCCTATGCCCCACCGATAGACATCTGAAGGGTCTCATGACTCATGTTGTACTGGACAATAGTAAATGACCTCATCTTAACAGCAGCTAGCCCCTCAAGGTCGTAAAACCCTTGCTTCCAAATTTCTTAGAGACTTTGGCTATCCCTAAGCCAAATCCGACTTAAAAGAATAGAATCAGCCACTACTCACAACCCCAGTGCCGCTCTTTCTACCCACGGGTCCTGTCCCTGTACATTAATAAAACCACCATTTTTGCACCAAAGATGACTCAAGAATGCTGTCTTGACCATTTGCTCCTGGACCCCAACATCACCACATTTCACACCAATCCCTTCATTTCTCCCATGTATATATGACATATCCATGCTAATAAACTTCCGTTTGTTTTTCTGTCTTATGTTATAAAGGCCATAGCTGAGAAGGAAGGAGAGAAGAGAAAGATTGCTTCTTCCTCTACACTATCTTCTGAGACTGAATCTCTAATAGTGATGCAAGTAATGTGGGAAACAAAGGCAAAAGAAAAAGTTAAATTTCCTTACTTCCTACAGCCCATTGACTAGTCCTTGAAACAGGTAGAGTTGATGAGGGAGCAGAAGGCTAGCTGAGGACAGGCAGAATCTGACACCCGCCCCCCCCCCCCCATGAGATATATGTGACATTCCTCAGGCACTTCTGGCTGCCCTAAAGGAAAAACAAATAGTTAATTTACAGAGATTACAATTCTGCAAGACATGAGTCTCCCTCAGTTTACAAAAGTCTTAGCAATTTACAAGAACAAAGCGTTTCTATCAATGTCTAGTTTCTAGTAGGGGATGTAGATACAATTATATGTCCTTATAATCTGCAGCCCATTGACAGATACTTGAAGGGGGCAAAGTGTAATTTCCTCCAGGAAGTTCCCAACTATCTTACTGTCAATGCCTTACTAGAAGGAAAGACAATCTTAACAGGTAATGGCAAGGCCTCCTGTATCCTGTGAGTCTTCTTTAACACACAAAAATCCTTTTGAAACCTCCCTTTTCCATACCTCCCCCAATTTGCAAGTATATAATCAGCCATACCTCACAAACCCAGGGCAGCTTTTTCTACCCACAGGTCCCGTCCTCGTGCTTTCATAAAACCACTTTTTGCACCAAAGGTGTCTCAAGAATTCTTTCTTGGCTGTTGGTTTCAAACCTTAACATCTTTCCTATATCATCTACACTGGGAGGTGATGCACCCCAACTCCATGAAGAAAGAAGCTCCTTCACTAGGGACCCTCCCACCTTACCCTTGGTATCTCTTTATCTGGGTCTTCATCTGTCTCCTTTATCCTATCCCTTAAGGAACTGATAAACCATCAGTGTTTCCTTGAGTTCTGTGAGCACTCTAACAAAGTAGTGGAATGAAGAAAGGGTTGGGGGAAGCTCAGATTTATAGCCAGGCAGTCAGAAGCACAGGTGACAAGCTGGACTTGCAATTGGCAACTGGACCGGGGGAGTTTTGTGTGTTTGTGGTGTGTTTTCTCCTAAAGAACTGAAATAAGGGAGCTCAAAACACTAAAGCTTCAGGGAAGGAAGCACTCAACGGTTATCAGGATGTCATCATTTCCTCACACCTTCTTTGAGGAAGTTATCACTTCTTCTTTGTTCCTTTAAGTAGGGTTGCTCTTCCTGTGTCTACAGGGATCCTGGCTTTAAACGGTGAGTTGGAGAGTGTGGTCTCATCCACACTGTGCACAAGAAGTGCATCTTCCAAGCCCTAGGTTCCCTTTGCTCTTTCCTAGGGCTCGGAACCCTTCCCTGCTGCACGCAGGCTGCGCTGGCATACCTGGCAGAGGAACAGCAGACAAAAGCCTCTGAGCCTGGGACTAACCACGGCCTCTGATCTCAGCGGGAGCGCCAGCACGGAGACCTGGTAAGAGGAGAACCCCGGGGGCTGGGGAGAGTAGAGCCGTGAAGATGGCCAGAAGGTCCAGGTCACATAGATGGAGGAGAAATATTCCAGAAGGGAGGAGGGAAGAGACGAGGTTCTAGACCCATAAGTACAGGACAAAGAAAAGAATGGGATCTGCCAGTCAGAGGAAAAGTCATCTTACCTCACATTCCTCCTCCCTGGGCTTCAGGTCCTTCATAGAATATGAGACTCAAGTCAGAAAGAAGATGGTTTAAAAAAAAATTCGACGAATGTAATCTTGAAAGGAGCAATAAAGATCTATATGGATGTGAATAATAATTTTGCTCTAATGGCTTCTACTACTGTCATTCTCTCACTTTCTTTCCTCTTCCTATACAGAAGAGATGATGCTGGATCTTCTGGGACCGTTTCCTCTCATCCTGTTGCTGCTGGGATCATGGGGGCCAGTGCAACCACTTGGTGCTTGGCCTCCACACTCCACCAGGGCTCAGACGTTTGAAATATCACATATAAGATCAGGTCCTGTCCAATGCCACAAGGAAATGCCTCGTGTCAATAGTCTTAAAGGCAAATGTAAGGGTGAAAACACCTTTCTGCACGACTCCTTCCAGAGGGTGGCTGCTACCTGTCTTTTGCCCAACAGGATCTGCAGGAATGGCTGGAATAACTGCCATCAGAGTACAAATCCTATTGGCATGACTTACTGCTATCACACTGGAGGGACATATCCCAACTGCCGCTACAGTACCACTCCCCAGTACCAACTCTATACTGTTGCCTGTAACCCCCCTCAGCCAGGCGACCCTCCCTATCCTCTGGTTCCTGTGCACTTAGATTAAGACTAAGGTTTCTGTGACTTTCCCTATCACTTGGTGCAGGTTCTCTTATTCTTTTTCTTTCCTTTTGTTGATTTCCATGTTTCCCTTAGAGAAAGAAGGAGTGGGTGCCTGGGTTCCTCAGTGGGTTAAGTGTCTGCCTTCGACTGGGGTCATTGTCCCAGAGTTCTGGAATCCAGTCCCATGTCAGGTTCCCTTCTCGGTGGGGAGTTGTCTTCTTCCTCTGCTCCACACCCTGCTTGTGCTCTCTCTCATATAAATAAATAAATCTTTAAAAAAAGAAGAAAAAAGGAGGGGAGTTGGAGAATTACAGGGCCACGAGGCAATACCACAGTTGGGGACAAAAACAAACAGGATTCTTTTCTGCTTTGGAGCTTTGTGTGTTTCAATGGAAGGCAAAGGAAGAAGGCAAAGGAAGACCCAGGCCTCATATTTGAATCTTGGAACTTCTGCCAAGCTTTGTTGCATTGTGTTCACAGCAATAAAATCACTTTCTGTTGCATTGTAATGACCGTGAGTGTGTGTCTTTGGGATGCCTCTCACATCATTGCCAGCCTGGGGCCATCTTGATTGCATTTGTCAACATTCTCAGGAGAACTCTGTGGGCCCTAAGCGACTTTTGAGGTTATTCAGCAACCCAAGGCTTCTTCTGCCACTTCTGCCACCCCTGTGTCCCTGGGACTTGGAGCAAGAGTGTTCTCCATCCCTTCAAATTCTGCTCATGGCTTTTACATATTTCCCTTGAAATCACAGTCTATGTTTATTAGGAGGTGGCACAGATACCTCAAAGAGTGTCTGGAGTACTTTCACACACAGGTTCTAACTCTGACACTGGTGCATCCTACATCTTTACTATGGTTTCTGTATTTCATCAGATAATGTTTTAAATATAAGTAGTAGTAGTAGGGATAGTAATCCACTGTAGCCTTAGAGTTACTTCTCCCATGGTTTATTGGAATGCATGAAGACAAAGCATAGATGAAGAAAAAAAAAAGCACTGGGGATATTGTAAATATCTCCCTTTATGTCTGTTAATATTTACCTTATGTATTTACATCCTCCAATGTTGAATGTATAGATATTTACAATTGTTTTAAAAAAAAAAAAAGCACTGAGGTACTAAAAACATTCCTGCCTTACCTAAATACTGAAATATCACAGAAGTAATGGGGTTTTGGAAGAGGTAGAAGATTTAGAAACTGAAAGACTAGGATTAAGAATTTGGCTGGGATTAAGAATTTAGGTTCTATTTGTAGGGGAGGAAAAATAATTTTCCCTCTACCATTTTAGGTTCTTGGCTGAGAGCCCCTCAACTTCATTGTATTCCTGCTCTCTCTGCCTCTCTCTCTGTCAAATAAATAAATAAAATCTTTTTAAAAAAGGCAACTTCATAGGACAAAAACTATTTTAATTACGTACATACATACGGGAGCCCCACAAAAATATTAGACTTAAAAGCAACTAGCCAATTGAGTCTTCTGGACCATCCTGACTATGGAAAGGATAGGGGTCTAGGTCTTTAAAAGGAGGGAAGACAATTCAGAGGAAGGTGAGAGGAGGCAATGTTTGGGAAAGGAAATTTGCCCTCCCATGCAGAGGACTCTCTCAGATGAAAGTGATCCCTGTAATGGCTCACTTCCTGTTACTGGCTCCTTTCTAATGTAAATTTCCCCTACAAAGGGTAACCTCCACTCTGCTTTCAGAATTTCTTCTGGTCAGCACTTTCTCAAAATAAACAGCTTAACATTATTCTTATGCCAAAAAGGCATATTTTAGGGTGGCATATTTTGCTAATCCTGCATACCTTTCCCTTTCCTTGTCAACTACTAGATTCATAGGGCTAGCAGGCCAGTGTAAGTCAAAGTGCTTTGTAGACTGATCTGTCTTTGAGTAGCAGCCAAACATAATGCCTATCAGAAAGGCCACCTACTGAAGTAGTTACTAGTGTGTCAATTATCTGCACTGCAGAATGGATCTTTCCAAACCGAGCGAGTCCTTTCACAGGTGGGCTACTTGGACTCATCTTCCTTCATGCCACATATTTATGTCATGTCCTAGAAACAAAGACAGAAATATGAAGTTTCAGGTTTCAGGAGCCTGGATTCCAAGTGTGCTAAATACTGAAGGCCCCTCTCAGTGGGAAGACATAAGAAGGCCAGGACAACTTGGCACTTGAGAAAGTTGGTACCCAGTAGGGGAACTTATCTGGTGGGACTTGAGTCCTCCAATTTAGAGCAGCTTTCAATAGTATTCATCTTTGGGGCACCTGGATGGCTCAGTCATTAAGCGTCTGCCTTTGGCTCAGGTCATGATCCCAGGGTCCTGGGATTGAGTTCCACATCAGGCTCCCTGCTTAGCAGGGAGCCTGCTTCTCCCTCTGCCTGCTGCTCCCCATGCTTGTGTTCCTTCTCTCGCTGTCTATTTCTCTGTCAAATAAATAAATAAAAAATCTTTTTAAAAAAATAGTATTCGGGCGCCTGGGTGGCTCAGTCGGTTAAGCAACTGCCTTCGGCTCAGGTCATGATCCTGGAGTCCCGGGATCGAGTCCCGCATCGGGCTCCCTGCTCGGCAGGGAGTCTGCTTCTCCCTCTGACCCTCCTCCCGCTCATGCTCTCTGTCTCTCATTCTCTCTGTCTCAAATGAATGAATAAAATCTTAAAAAAAAAAATAGTATTCATCTTTAAGCCGTGTGGCATTTACATCCTATAGTTTCAAAGTCTTCAAGCCAAGTCTGGAGGGAGTGGACACAAGGATCTGTGTTCACGTTTAGTGTGAACCAGTGTAGGAAAGTAGCATCATCCTCAAGGAAAGGGGTCTTCAGATGGCATGCGTCAACCTGATCAGTAATCACAATGGACTTATGTACTCTCTAAACATTACTTGGACATTTCAGGAGATTCTAGGGCAAAGTAACCTAGTAAAAGGCTGAATTTCCTTTCATTAAACCACTCAATTACTCACTCTTTCTCAAGCACTACTCAATTATGGTTATTTATACATTAGGGAACTCATAGATTAAAGTAATTGTGGGAGGGAGTAAGAATGAGGATAACTTGGGGACAATCTTTTATGCTCAGAGGTGTTTGTTCTAAATTAATGGACCAGACCAAGATGGCCTCTCTCTCCGATTTGTGTTACTCCTGCGTGCAATCATGCATTGTGGGAGAGTCAAGATGACTGACTAAATCAGATATTCATTTAGGTATATCCCTAAATCAGCTTCAATGACCTGACATTCTTTATAGAATGATCCAAAGTGGCAAAGCTTAGAAGGAAACTTAGCAAATGTTCCAGCAGTTCTCAACTCTGGTTTCATATGCAGATGACTCTCTCAGAATTTCATATGAAATGCACCTGGGAGCTTAAAAAAAAAAAAATCAATGACAGGACCCCTGTGAGATAGGAGAAAATATATATTGATTTCTGCCTCTGATTCCTGGCACAGAGCTCCTGAAACCCTTGTAAATTCCTAAGTGATAAGAGCACTGGGAACATCTTTGTTCTTTGCAGCCACCTGGGTGGTCCCTGGATAGGGCTGATCACCAAAAGATGGAGCCATGATTAAAAGCTTGGCAATTTCAGCCTAACCCCCATCCTCGAGGGAGGGGAGAGGGACTGGATATGGAAGTAATAATTGATCCTGCCTGTATGAGGTAGCCTCACAAACACATTTATGATGGGGGAAACAAATACAAAAGAAAACTAAATTTCCTTACTACCTACAGCCCACTGACAAGTCCTTGACAGAGGAAGAGTGACATTCTTCTAGGAATACAGCTGCCTCGATGTTACTACTTGGCCAAGGGCAGAGGGCGATCTTAGCCTGAAACCCAGGATCCCGTAAGTCTACTATAATATACAAAAGTCATTTGGAGGGGCGCCTGGGTGGCTCAGTCTTTAAGCGTCTGCCTTCGGCTCAGGTCATGATCCCAGGGTCCTGGGATCAAGCCCTGCGTCGGGCTCCCTGCTCAGTGGGAAGCCTGCTTCTCCCCCTCCCACTCCCCCTGCTTGTGTTCCCTCTCTCGCTGTGTCTCCCTCTGTCAAATAAATAAATAAAATCTTTAAAAAATAAAAAAAAAAAGTCATTTGGAAACCCCTTTATCTCTCCCCAACAGGATACGTGTTGGCAAACATCCCCCAAACTTACGGTCCACTGATATAAATCTGAAAGGTCTCGTGATTAAAGTTTTCCTAGAGAGTAATAAATGACCTTTTCCCAAAAATAGCTGATCCCCTCAAGGTCCTGGAAACCTTCCTTCCCAATTCTTTAGAGACTTATCCTATTCCTAACCCCCTCCCAACTTGAAAGTATATAATGGGCCCTCTTCATGACCCCAGTGTATCTCTATCTGCCCTCAGGTCCTGTCCCCCTGCTTTAATAAAGCCACCTTTTTGCACCAAAGACATCTCAAGAATTCTTTCTTGGCTGTTGGCTTCGAACCCTAAAATCTTTCCAGCATCATCTACACTGGGAGGGTGATGCACCCCAACTCTACAGGTTCAGAAGCTCCTTCATTAGGGACCCTCTCAGACCTTACTCTAGCTATCTTTTTATCTGGCTGTTCATCTTTCTCCTTATCATATCCTTCCATAAACTCATAAAGCATAAGTGTTTCCTTGAGTTCTGTGAGCGGCTCTAGCAAATCATCGAATAAACAAGGGGGTGGTGGGAAGCGCAGATT